TTTTAATTTTAAGTATTATTAGCCACGACTAATCGATTGTTTAATAATCATTATGCAAACTTAATTATTTATATAAGAAATTGATAATTTAAAACCTATATAACACACTTTAACAGACTATTATGAAAAATAATAATATAATATATTTTTGTATAGCGTCGTGTCATGATCCACGGAGCCCCGTGACTTGCGCTACGTTTGTTAGCCGTCGCCCTACTAACTTTATATAGTAGTCGGACTGATCAACACCGCGTGCTATACGTTACGGCAGAGAGTCCAGCAAAGGCCGCACGCCCGACAATGACCCACCGTAAATATACGTTGAAGTCAGTTTCGTGACACCGACCTGTACATACCGTTTCCTTTTTGTGTGATACCGCACAATCTGCATGGATATGACACTTATCACAGAGAGCATCGGCAGCACCAATATTGGTGGTTTCATGAGCCATTTTCCTCTTGTGGTTTTTAATCGACTCGTTTGTAAATATAATCAAACATATTTGTTTTCTAAATATTTGTGTGATGCGAAATTATTAAATTTAATAAATGATTCCGGCCATTCTTAACCAACTAGAATAAAATGAGTCATTTAACCGAATTTCTGTGAGAAATATATATATATATATATATATATATATATATATATATNATTGAGACACAAACTTACTATCGTATATGAATTACAAAATTAGTTAAACACATGGTATTTTCGTTAATACTGTGTTATTCCTTACGTTTGATATATGTATTCAAAAAACATATAGTGCTGGTCAAATTAGCCGGTTTTGGCATTATTTAAAGGTTACTTCAAGGGCGGTGGGTTAACATGACATGCCAAACTTCATAATATCAGAGTTTTGGTAAGATTGATGATGTCCCAGATAATTATCGTTTCCTTGTTAATATATTTGATCATGGTTAGTAAAAGTTATGGAACTTATAATATAGAAATTGCTACTACTATTTTTCTAGTTACCAAGTTATACAGAAAGAAGTTATATTAAATTTTTTTATTTTTTTGTTCATATTGTTACTTAAGCATTACTTATAAAAACAATTCTAATTATGCTATTTAATTATTTAATTGATTTTTATCATTATTTTATTAAATTCAATGTATTTCATTATTTTTTTTAAATATATAGTTTGTTATAGTATATAAAAATAAATAATTTTCTTTATAAAATTTACATCTTTAACGCTCCATTTAAAGAATTTCACATAGAATATTGCAATTATAGAATATATAAATAAATTGGAAATTTTTTTGTCTTTAACCATTATCATAAATATTATTTTTAGAAATTTTACTTATTAAGTTCTAACTAATAATTAAAAACGATTTTTTAGTGATGTAGAAAAATTTTATCACTCTCTATGTGTTTAACTTACATAATATTTTCTTTTTATTTGTTAGTTTTAAAGAATTTTCTCGTCATAACAATATGAATACATAGGTCGATAATGAAACAATTTTGAACGCGATTTTTTACATTAGCTATTATTAATAGATATTGTTTTTGAGTCATAGAATTTGACTTATTAAAAAAATAAATAAATAACTGATCTAATCAAAAAAAAAAATTATCAAACTTTAAACCAGTGTGTACGAATTTTGTGTATGTATGATTAATGTAACGATAATGTAAACAATGTACCGGTATATTTTTTTATAAAATAAAGAAAAATTGCCTGTAATGTTTATCATTCCAGTAAATTTTTCACGTCGCACCGCGAGTGCAAGAGAGTGTATAGTAATTTTGAGAAAATTTTTTTCAAATTTCAACCTATTGTAAGAATTAAATTGTGTTACTTTTTTCTATATTAAGCTCTAGTAAATTTTTATGCAAATTTTTGCATCTTCTCATTGAAAATTGACTTCTCATTATTTTTCGAGAAATGAACCGTTATATTAGGTCAAAAGAATTATTTGAATTCCAGTAACTTTTTTGGTAAAATGATCATCGAATTAAAAAATTTCAAAAGTTTTTATACAGCCTCACTCTGTTGATACTAGCCATAATCAATTTCTTTTAAAATAGTACATTTTTGAACATTTTCGTTTTGGATTTTGTTGTTTACATATATTTTCATTTTTCTGTCATATAATAATTTTGAGATACATCCTTTATATCTAATAGTGATGTTAACTTTATTTGTTTAAATAAAAACTTATTTAATAAACTAGTTTATAAATTAGAAAATAATAATTTAAAGTAATGACTAGAATGAGAAGTGGGTGTTGCTATTTTTATTATTGGACATTTGCTGGCCTTTTGCTCCTCCCACCTAAGTACAAAATTGTTAAAAAAATATTTTTTTCGATAACAAGACAAGACATATTTAATATCTAAAACGTGATATTGTGTCTAACATCTTGGAGATACTGAACGATTTCACTGTCTTTCGTCCTCGTTTCATATTCTTTTATCAACTTGGTAAGTCTTTCTTCGGTTTTTAATCGAGACAAGTTTTCTGATCTCTTGATCTTACGACCGATATCCAATTCGCGATACATATCCTTTCAATTTAAATATTGAAAAAAAGTATTAACAATTGAACTCAAATTACTATGACAACCATTGGAACAAAAAATAATCGTGGATAAAAAAATTAGTAGAAAAATCGGTTAGTGGAAAAAATAGAAATGAAAAAATGGTATATAATCCTAATTTTGTCGTATTATACAAAAGACAATTTTTTAATAAATTGTATGCGTAATTAGTTTAATAATAGGTACACTATTATACACTTTAAATTGAAAAAAAAAAATTGTACCCGCGACTTATATTTATGGTGAAAACGTGTATCAAAATTACAGAAAAAAGTAGAATTTTTGTGAAAAAATTTTCGATTTTATATTTTTAATTTAAAAAGCTATAATTTTTTAAAAATATACAATTATTTTACAAATATTTTTTATATAAACTTTTCTTCAGATATGCTTTTTTTTAATTCGGACCATTTTCCTTTATACAGGGTGAAGTTAAATTTTTAAACACCCATATAGAAAAAAATAAAATTTGTCCCTGTGACTTATCTTTGTGGTAAAAAACATGAGAAACTGACTGGTAATAAAATAATGATTTTTGTGTAAAAATTGGAATATTCAAAAAAAATTTAATTATCGGTTTTTAAGAAATTAGTGTAAGCTACGTTAGAGTATTAAAACAGAGGTTGTTAAGGAATCTAATAATCCCTATTTTTTTTTTTTTTAAATATTTATTTTAACTTTAGATTGTTTAAATTTTTAACAATAATTTTGAAAAGGAATTTATTAGCTTCGATGCGAAGCTGATGAGGTATTAATTTTACCATGACGTGTTTATTTATTGCTTTTTTTTGTAGTGTCACAAATTTTTCTCAGCTCTCCTTGGACTGACTTTTTTTAAACTAAAATACTTTAATTAAAATATGTATTTTTAAAATTAAATATCTTCACAATAGGAATATAGAATTTGTTTTTATACTGTGTATTGCACAGAAAAATTATCACTAAAATGAAATATTTTTTATAATTATACACCAAAATATGCTTTGCTAAATCAAATTTTTTTGTTTTTTTAAATCTGCAATTAAAGTTTTTTTTGTAATCTCATTTTTTAGTATATTAATGAATGAATTAATTAATAAAAGCCAGTATTACATATAAAAATTAAATTCGACTTTTAATATGTTAAAAAATCCATGTAAAATGTTATATTAAAACTATTTTTTTTGGTTTTTCAAAGTTTTTATAGTTTTAGCCCAACTTGCAAGTTTGACATTAATGTCATTAAATAGAAAATCTTATAAGGATTTGAAAAATCATATTGTTTAAATTAATATGTGGTCAGGAACATATATACGTAATTACTATGAATATTAAATTTATCTCAAAAATTTGTTAAAAATTTACTGGTTTTTTTTTTTCATTTAAATAAAAATCATAATAATCATTTCTATGTAATATTTGATGTTTAAGTATATGCTATAATTGAAATATTCAGAACTATATTTCGTGTAGTTATATCCTATTATATTCTATAATATATTGTTCACTGGCGTTCGCAAGGGGGTGGTGGGTTGGGGGTTGAAACCCCTCAAAATTTATAAGCTTAGCGACAATTTTGGACGATAAACAATAAGTAATAACAATAAAAAAGATCATATCATACTATAAATATTTCCACAATAAAGTAATCGAAAACAGGAAATTTTGTGAGCAAATAATATGGGCAGTGTTACATCTAATTTTCTTTAAATTTCAAACCCCCTCCGAATTTAATTTCTGTGTACGCCACTGATACTGATGTTAAAAAAATTTCGTGCTTAGTTTCACCTATGATTTTGTCTTCTATGTTTTATTAAATTTCATTTCAATTTTTATATGTTCATATTCGCTTTTTACTAACTAGTATTAATCTCAAAAATTAGAGGTGATAGAACATTCTAATTGTAGAATTGAAATCAGCGTGAAAAATTTATTTAGAAAAGTATATTTTTGACACTGATTAAAATTTCTTTGTAGACCAATGTATTAAACATAATTAACGAAAAATTATATTCTGAAATGTTTTGTATCAAGCCCTTTAATTTTTATACACGCTAGCCATACAGGTACCAAAAAATATTTTTACTAATTAATTTTTTATAATTTCTTTGTAATAAAAATTATAATATTAATTTGTTGAATATCAATTTCATGCTAAATTGAAATAACCATAATAAATATTTATTCATATATTATACTTATAAATCAAAGAACTACTAAGCAGAGTATAATTAATGCAATAGTAATTGATGTTATTTTTGGAATAATCCACCAAATTCTTAAAATTAAAAACTATCTATAGATTTACATCTAAGTGTTTCTTATTGTAATGATTTTAATCATTGTCTGATATCATCTATACTTGCCCCAACTTTGCCATTTTTACAGTGTGCTACAACCTCACAGCGCTACCGTTTTTTTAAAATTATTTTTGAGTTGAAAGTAAAATATGTTTCTTATTTAGTTTCAGGTAGTCCGAAAAAAAGGAAAATAGACGAACAGCTAAAAACATATTTTGAAAATTTATCACAAAATGTATTTGCGTCTGCAGGTCAAAATGTCATGCTACCTTGTCGCGTGAGACATCTAAATGATAAAGTGGTAAGTTAAAATAAAGAGTGGAAAAATTGTGTTAATAATTATTAGAATAATAATAAGAAATCATAAAACTTATCATTATATGGATCAAAGTAATCAATGATTGTAACAGATACAAAGGGGACCATAGGAGCAATGCCCCATTTAAAACTAGTTGTACAAAACTTACTAATAACTAAAAAACGCTTCTTTTTATTAAATCGCTCTCATTTTAACAATAATAGTGGAATGGGTTTCCCACATAAAAAGAAATATTCTGGATTGTATACAATAAAAATAAAATAATATCAATAAGGTAATATATATTCGTACAAATTAATATCTGAGTATAGATATAACTGATTTTATAACGTAGGTAATAAAAAGAATTGACACATATTTTTTAAAATATAGCAATGACGGACCCATAGTTGAACGGTCTGCTATTCCTATAAATATATGTTATATTCCATTATCAAAATAAATAATATTTTTTCAAAAATGCATATAATCATAACTGTTAAATAAAAAACATGGGTTTATGTTTAAAAACATTTTTCACTTCACCTTGGAAAAATAATTCATAGCACTCAAAGATTTCTTAAAGTTATCTAAGAAAAAATATTTCAATTTCACAAACATAAATATTTGTATTGAGTTCTGTTGTGATACTGTTCATCGCTCTAATTTAATATTATTCGCAATGTGTATCACAAAATAAAATAATTATCTTAAATTGATATCATAGCATAATCACTGATGTAATTAATACAATGTATGTACTTGTTCAGTTTAAGATTAATACCCGTACCATAAATGTAAACACTGCAAATTAACCTACAAAGATAATGTATTAAGTAACAGTATCCCTAAGAATATAATCAAATGTACCATAGCCAATGTAACATATTATCCCTGCTTATAATTTTCATTTCAGTAAAGACAAGAGTCCCTGGTGGTCAATTCTTACATTTTAATGACATATATAGATCATAGATTTCATATAAAAAACCGTAAAAGGGTTTACTCGATTCTCATTCCACTTTTCAATCTAAGAGTCAAATGCAGCAATTGACCACCAGTCTCTCAAATATTCAAAAAGAAAAATTTGTCAGTGTTGTTCATTTCAATTCCGCAGAAAATATTATAAAGTAGGTAATACATTGTCATTACGATAATTTGGAATTATTTAATCCGAGAAGAGAATGACAAAACAATAATAATTAACTTATCTTTTCTCATTCAAATTTATTAACTGGTTTGTCAGGAGAATTATTAAATGCGTTCGAAGTGCTTGACGTTTTATAGTTTGCCGACCTAAGCTCGTGCCCTTGAAGCATAAGACTATTCAAATGATTTACCAATTTTTACAAGTTTAATACATACATTAAATTTCAATACTCATCATAACCCCTTTATCTGATTGTGTTGTCATCCTCTAAACCCTCGGACTCCGCGACCCCAATGAAATTAAACTAACTGAATTATAGTAACCGAAAGTAAGATAATTATATTTATTTAAGTGTTCAAAAATCCAAATTAATTAACCAACACACCCAATTTTATTTACCTTATTATATTATAATAAAATCTTACTTTTGGCTCACTATAGTTACGTAGTTTATGTTAACATTATTGAGAAAATCTAAATTTTTACATAGATAAAAATTATATTAGTTTTATTTTAGATGATAGCTTTATAAATGTTTATCTAAACGTTATCAGAGATAGTTCTTTGTTATCTACATAAGAAATATCTGATATCTATGAGTATTGAGATTGATACAGTTGACGAGATGATATTAGACAAATGTAGGCGACACAGAAGATTTTTTGTTAGTAAGTGGCGTCGGTCCGTTTATATTTAACCGACACAAAATTTGTTTATATACAAGTAGTAGCAAAAATACAACTGATAGTATAAAAATAAACTGCAGTGATACATTGTTTATTTAAGATAGAATAACTTTAATGACCTTTTAACAGTAATATATTTATGCCTTAGTGCATAAACGTCAAAATATCTGTTTATTTGAAATTTGTAGTTATCAGAAGTTTTTATTAAACTTTATAATTTAGTGTATTGAACACTAATATAATTCTCAAAAAACTTTGAGATATCTGATTTCAGTACACTATACAACTTGCTGAAGTTCCTAATCTTTAAAAATACATTTTATTGTATAATGTGACATCAGTAAAAATTGTTTGTTTAGTAACTTTATTCATACTTTCGAAATAACTTTTTTTATTTTATAAATGATAATATTATGATTTCAATGTTAGTACTATCATTATTATTTGATGCAAACTATTATTTCTGATAAATTTACATTCTAATGAATGTTTGAGAATTGTAATATTATAAAACTAAAAATTGATTATGTTAACTAGAAATTGTTTGTCTGTATGAAATATAATTAACTGAATGAACATGTCTTATAATATGTTTTAAGTTATTTTATTAAGACTGGGCATTAAAACATTAAAAAGTTAAAATTCAGTTAAAAATGTAAGTCAATTTAATTAAGTTTAGATAACTTGATACATTTTTGGGGAATTTTACTTTAAATTTAAATAGTTCACTTTTAACCTAAATAAACTGCGCATTACTGCAATGTAAAATTAAATTAAGTTTTATATAATTTCTTTTAGCGAAGTTTAAAATTACTTATGAGTTAACTTTTATCTTAATTTATGATTTAAAAATGTGAAGTTTATACAGCCTTGGTTATTATAATATGTTAAATGAATTAAAAATATCATTATATTTCCGTATTAAAATTATTCCTGTTTTTGTAGAAATGAAAGTTATTTAAAATGAAATTAATTGTCACTTAAGTTTAAATTTTTTGTTAAAATAAAAGATCTAAATTAACTTTAACGCCTAAAGTATTTAATAAATTATGTAGTCCTTAATGACTTGAATAGTTTTTGTACTGTGATTTAACGAAGGATTAAAAGGGCATATAAATATATATGGTGTACGATAATTATAATTATCGTACGAGGTTTTTTATTAAACCCAACATAATACCTTCTTTTGGAACGAAGAAGATTGATTTCTAATAAAATATGTATTTAGTTATTTAAACTATGTAACGCCCAAATGGGTAAAGAGTATACTCAATGAATCAAGAATACAGAATCAAGTAAAAAACTAGATTGAAATCAAAAGGAAAGTATTATTAATAAAATAATAATTCAATAATTAAAAGTTTGTAAAGAAGAAAATTTTTTTAAATTAAATAAAAAATAATTCATTCATTTATAGCAATTTTAATATGTTTGAATGAGTCGTAGAAAAAATTCATCTAATTACTGAGAGTATACATTTCAATAAGTTATTAGTAATAACATACAGTTAGCAGGAAAAAATAATTATAATTCTTTATAATAAAAAAAAAAAATGATATATCTGATATTATATAATACAATTGTTTTGGTGTATTATTTTTCCAATGTAAGAAAAACAAATTTACCTTTTTTTAAAAAAAAATTGTTTTTTGATGGTTTTTCTCCATTCTACAGGAAGTGAAAAATTTTTCAACGTTAGCCGTGTGATAATCAAGAAAACGACGTATTTTGTCATATTCATTAAAATCGGTCTTTTTAATCAGCAAAAAAAAAAAGGTTAACGAATATATAAAACATTTTTCTTTATTCCCCATTTCTGTAAAAATACGTGCCTAACTAATGTATATCAAATTTTTATTGAAAATTGGAGATACATTTTAATGATTTAAACGACTATTTTCGTAAAGTTTCTATGGAGTAAATAAATTTTTTTTCTCTAAAAATTTTCATATAGAAATTTTAAGAGAAAAAAAATTATTTGATAAAACTAAAATAATTAAAAAGATATATAACGTATATTTTTGTATTTTAGTATGCGTGTTGGTTGTTTTGTACATTATATTATAGGAAATTTTATGACTTTGACTATAAAATGATTCAGTCTGATCTTCAAATACCTATACAGATTAAATTTGACACGGTACCGTATATTTTGCGATACGTTAATTACTCGGTCACCTCGTCTCTTTCATCGGCCGCCTTATTACATCGCGAGTGTAGCCTGATTAGGGTACCCCCACTAAGTGCAAAGTTATCTACTGGAGCGCGGCCGTCCATTGAGCGCCGGCGGTGAAGGCTCATTTTGCTTTTGGATTCCTACTTGAATCATAACTGTCCGTCGATCATGCGTCGTACACTGTTAGTTAGTTTACACATATATTATAAAAATAATTACTTGCATATTCTTTTTTTTCGTTTTTGTCCTCTCGGACAGTGTCCGTAGTATCTATATATATATATATATATATTATTTTATTTTTTATAAAGGGGTATACGTTATAAATATTATATAATATAATTATTATAAATATACACCAATACGAATTGCATTCACTGTTACTACATGGCCACTCTATTTATTAGAACAATTGTAACTTATTAAGTATCTACTAAACCTAAAGTTGTTATCTATCCATAAACTTTTTATGAAGTATTTTTTGATGGGCGTTTTGTCCAAATTGGAGTAATATTCTTATGCATCAAAAGCTTCAGATTATTTTTACATGAGTCGTGTTATGATCTCAAATAATTATATTTAGGCTTATTGTAGGTTAAATAATAGTAGTTTTATCAATTCTGTTCAAGTCAGTCTACGCCATTAACTTTACACGTATTTAGTTTAATAAGTGTCGAAGTTAATATTCAATACATAACATTAGTATATTATTATATACAAATTTTAATAGATTAATGATTTTTTCATATTTGTTTGTAAAACTTTAAAGTGATTTTTAAAACTTATAATAAATTAAATTTTTTAAAAATTGTTTTCTATTTTCTCAAAAGAACTACTAAGATTAGATATAATCCTAATTTTTCCGAAGAAACATGGGAAAACAATGTGCATATTTTCAGCAGTGTTACTATAACATAATAAAAAAATTGACATTGTACGTTTACCGAGTGACTTTTTGTCATATCTTTTAGTTATATTAATCTTTAATAAATTCATTTGACTAGAATTTGTTTGTATTTTTGCGCAAATTTAATGTTTAAATGAACACACTGCATTGAAAAAAATTCTCTGATAAATCGAGAAATGCATTATCAAAATACGTCTAATAAACTTTTTATTAAATGAATCATAGTTTTTGGTTTATTTAACCGTAATGTTTGTTAAAAGAATACAAATTGGCCAAATTAACAAATTTTTATATTCGAAAAAAAAATGGTTCAATTAATCAAAAAAAAAAAAAAAATACTAACTATTTTACAAAATTATTATTAGATGTATATTGATAATAATTTTGTTTATTTTACCAAGTTTATTGACTGTAGTTGTCGTATCCTTTATTAGTTGAACAATTAATCGAAGTATTGTTGTAAATAACACTTTTATATTATTTTTCAAATATTGTACATAAAAAATAAATTATTTCTGTTCGAAATTTGAAAATAATAAATAATTCACTCGTACTTAAGTTTAAAATTTGACACGGTCTACGTCATCTTTGTCAGCCGTCGTCCTGTTCCTTGTACGTTTGACTGATCAGCACCGCGTGTGACAGGTCGTGGTACTAAGTCCAGCAAGTTTCGTACGACCCGCCGCAAACATAAGTGGAAGTCATTTTCGCGACACCTCACAAAATGCTCCGTTCGAACCCTTTCCCAACACTTCTCAACGGTGTCGACATCATCACTACGCTCATCGATTACTATTTTGTCATTGTAACTCTTTTAGTTTCCTGTACTTTGTGTACTATATAACTTTCTGATATTAATTAAAATAAACGTCATTTATCGAACCTACGCCTTTTGTGTCGACTTTGTTTTGTTCACTCTCTCTCTTTATATGTATCAAATGCTTGTTTCATTTTTCAATTAATATCTAAAAGATAATTCATTTCTATTATTATTGGGCTGGTAGTAATTTTAAACGTTTTTCTGGAGTCGAATGCAGTGTAACATTTAAACGTACATGCGAGATCACGCGTGTTGCTTGGCAAAATGTTTTTCTTGAGGTCAACTTTATTTTATCATTTTATTTTTTTAATTTCTTACGCTCTCTTTGCTTTTTATTTTAGCAGGCAGTCGGCCAAACAAGAAAGAGGTGGTTTATATTAAACGATATTTTTCGTATGGTGTGTAGTGTAATGTGTGAATTATTTGGTGCGGCCTTTACCCTGTCGAGGCTAATCGCTACCCTACCTCAGTCTTTCCTGGCCGTTGGAAGACTTACTAGTAAAACTTTCTATTATGAGATTTATTATAGTCGTTTAAAGTAACAAATGAATACTAGCTGAAACAAATCGGAAACAATTTTGCAACTCATCTAAGTTACAAATAATAATTATTGTTAATTACTCGTGTAATATAAATTATTCGCTTGCGCTTACATTATTTAAAATTAAAAATATATTTAACATATTAATTTAAAACTAAAAAATATTAAAAATGTTTAACCCAAAAAGCGACCAAATTTACTAAAGAATTGCGTATTTGTTTTTCGGATACAATGTTACCATTGTCAGTGCTAGACACAGTATGTATTTCATTTCATTTCACTACAAGTACAACTTGCAATGAAATGAATTATACCTTAATGAAAAAATATTGATTTTTATATTAAGTAATTGAAGTAAATTTTTTGATTAACTATAACATGGTAATTTCATTTTCATCAACACAATCATTTTGTTATTCGTTGATTAATATTTTTCTCTCGTATTTCCATTTATCTAATTCTCACTTGTTGCATAACGATATTTCTGAATTTGTTTGCTGTAATGCAAATAATTCCTCTATTTTGAAAATATTCTGTAGTGTTATTATAGTTAAATATATAATAGAATACTGTACGACTCTTTGGATACATTCTACAATAGCCATAAATATTGTTATCATTCAAAATCGTTTCTTAAGATTTTTAGGATATACTTGTAAAATTTAAGATTGAAATAAGTCAGTTTATAAGTAAGCCTGTTTTTTTCAATTTTGATGAGAAGGTAGTGGTTTTATGACAATATGTGCTATTTTTAATGTCTGTAAATAAAAATGATTAGCTCTCACTGGACCCATTTTAATGAATAATATGTTATACGAACCCAATTTTAATATAGCTGAATCTATCGTTGCCGAAAATTAGAGATCCCAGTTTTAATAATTTAGAAAAATATTTTAAAATGATGATACAGTAAAAAACGACATATTCAAAAAAAAATTTGTGCATTTTATTACTGCTTTAACTTTTTTCATTAAACATTGTTCAAAACTAAAATTTAAAAGAGTAAAAAAGAGGCAATAATCTTCTTTTTGGTATTCTATGTAAGTACATTCAATTACAAAACTAAGTACAATACTGATTTGAAAGAGATCATCTTCTACGTATGTAATTTTTTTTCGGCTCAATTTTTGAAATTGTTTTGAAATATTTGATAACTTTTAACGTTTACCACATTGAAGCTGTGAATTGTATTGTAATATAAAACAAACAATTGTCTGGACAATTTTTCTTTAAGCTTTTGGTTTTTATTATTATTAATCAAATTTGTTTAAACAAATTACAAGATTCGCGTTGAAGCGTTTTATTACGATAGAGATGTTAATCACTGTCAAATATTATCTTAGTTTGTCCCAACTATACCGGTCCTCACTGTGCTAGGATTTTTCACACATATACAGAGTAATCTGTTTATCATAAACCACTCAATTACTCACAAAATAAATACAATAAAATTGATTGGTGTTTTTTTAGTACCATATATTTTTCGATTAATCGACTGTAAATAACTTTTTAGTATTATCCCTTATAACTTATAGGAGTGTCGCCTTAATTTTTTAAACTATCACATACATAATTATCTAACACGTAAAATAGGAATAAATTAAAAAAATTATGGATCGATTACAAATTTTAGACCAATAGAATAATAATAATATAGTAATTAATGCAATGAACAAATAATTTATTTGTTGATCCATTTGTGTCTTCCTGAATTGTAATTTTTAAAAATTTAAATATTATAAAGTTCAATTAATTACTTTGTAAATGATTACAAATTTATTTTATTATTTTAAGTTTTCAATGTATGTAATATTAATTTTTCTATTGTTTTATTTTTTAAGTTTATTTAATCATTTTTACTCACTAATAACCAATTAAAAGTATATGTACTGAGCTTTCATTCGTTTATTATAAATAAATAAATTAATAGTGAAAAAATTATATATTAAGCTCATAACTCATACTAAATGATTTTAGAATACAAAAAAATATTATAAGCTAAAAATATTATAAGAGTACAACTTTTTGAAAAAAAATTAGTTATAAAATGCAAACGAAATAATTGATGAATTACATTTATATTGGTGATACAATTGAAGCTTTAAACTACATAATTGATAAATTATAGAAATACGGCGATTTTATTAATATTAATTATGTGTGTTTTAGTTTATATAGATTACTTAAATGTTTTTTTTTGTAACGTTTACTAAACATTTTTTTACCGTATAAACCATAGGCAGTAATAGTAACATTTTCTATAGTGGCTAAAATTAATTATTCCCTTAATAGATATTCTATAAAAAATAGTGTCATTCCGAGTTCCAAAGAGCTTTTAAGTAAAATTTCAGTACCTGGATTTCTTTTTAGAACTTGAGCTTAACCTGGTACTCAGTTTGTAAGCAATATTTACTCAACTTTTACAGAATAGTTGGTTTGTAAATTTGCCAACTAAGAATATCGAAAACTATTATTACTAGAAAAGGCGTAATTTTTGTGCTTTACGGCATTTGTAGTGTCCACTGTGACAGACTACATCCCATCCCATCTTAAATTATTATTGTATTTATTACCTATATACCTGGTGCTTACAACTATTTTTATATTCTACTTAAAAATATGTTTAACGTATCATATATAAATGTAATTCATTAAGTATATGACTTTCATTTTTTTAAAAACTATTGAACATTTTGAATTGTGCAAAGAAAAATATTTTTTGATTCTAAAACCTCTACAATAGTTCAGTTAAATAATTTTGTTTTAATTCATAGGCATAACTAAAAAATATGTTTAGTATTTTTAATGATATTTGTATTTTTTTGACACCGCAAAAACATTTTCAAAATAACATAATTTTCTAAATTTTTTTTAACACTTACGATTATATTAACAATTATTGGTCATCCGTCGTTTCTCTGTTGATATTAGTAAATTGTTAAACGACCTATGTGTAATTAATATTTATCTATTAATATTTTGAATAAAACCATTATATTAAGTTAGATTAAGAAAAATTTTAAATATTAATATGTATTTATTTTTTATAAGAAAAAATGCATTAATACCAACATTTTGAAAATATGCATTTATATACCTTATCTTATGAAATATGCAAAATAAGATTTCACAAATGAATTACACATAAATTGAAACAAATTTTCTTGTACGACGTATCAAAAAAATATGCAAATGCATTAAATTCAATGCCCCAGTTATTTCGGTTTAGATACAGCGATTCGCATCATTTTGTAGTCTTTGTAATAATAGTTTCTAATGAATCATGAATACCATATATTTTAAGATTAAAGGATGAAATTAAATGAAAGTTAGAGGTCAGATTTCCACCTAAACTTTCTCTGAGCTTATTAAGTAGACTTCGTTGCTACTCTAAATAGTTTTGCTACCTTTTTGCTATTACTGCAAAATATTCTATACATTATTATTCTAATAAATAAATATTTAGCTTCCAGTTGAAAGAAATAATCGACAAATTTTTGTTTTGTTGTATTATTTATGAAGATTAAAAAAACATTATTAATTTTTTTAAATCAGGTTTCGTGGATTCGAATGCGTGATTTACACATACTTACATCTGGCTCATTTTTGTTCACTAATGATGGTCGTTTTGGAATACATCACCCTTTAAAAGACTCTGCAATTTGGAATTTGGAGATAAAAGATGTGTCGCAAAAAGATATGGGTTCATATGAATGTCAAGTAAACACCGAACCAAAAATAAAATTCCTTGTTAATTTAACAGTGTTTGGTAAGTATTTTAAAACGCTATTACATTTTATAAAACTTTTTTTATTATTTAATTATATTATTTTGTTAGTTTTTTTAATAATAATTCATTTTAAATAAGTAAGTAATAAATATTAAGAAACTTTGTACTAAAATATTAAGTACTTATTACTTTTGCGCAATTCTTATAATCTGACAATAAGTAAAATATATTCAAATGGAAAAAAAAAAAATAATTGTAATTACATTTTTTTTTAATATTACTACATATATTCATGTAACAATTATCATTTTTTGAATAATGAGGTAGTTAAAATGTTTTTAAAATTATATATGAAGTATTACTATAATCTAGATTTTTATTTTCTTACTTAATTATAATTCTATTTAAAATATGATATATTTCTAGAATTAGAAAATTTATTATGTTAAAACTGATAGTCCTCTTATGACTATATATATAGTTTCTGAGTTTCATATTATATTTATAATTAATAGATTAAGATTAAAGATTATTTATTTCAATAATCATGAGTATAAGCTAGATGAATTTATGAATTATTTAGTAACAACTTTATTTTTCTTTATAAATATGAGGCACATTTTTATTTATTGTTTAATAATACTACTTAAAAACGTTTTTTCTTTATTGTTTACTACCAAAGGATTTAATTATTTAGGTTTATGTTTCAGATATCAACACATTATAAAATATTATATCAACCCCACAGGAAACTTCCCTCTAAAACTACTTTTTTTATTGAAATGTGGTGTAAAGGCATCGCCGTAGTGTATAACGATAACGTACAAAGTTTTCCCTTGCCACTATCAAATATTTAATAAACCGAAAATGACCCTACCGGTCGCTTAAACACTATAGGACTACCTATCTCTAGTCTGTGCTTTTCTCGCATTTTCGAAATTGTGTAAAAATATTATAGTATCAGAATGTAGGTTAAAGTTAAGTAAATAAAAAGCTTAAAACTATTGTGTTGTAAGATTAATATAAATTTATTAAGATTTTATTTATTTAGGTCTATTGTTTTTATTAATTAATTGTGCTATTAATCTTTATTTATAATCTCTGATGTAAATAGTGTAATATAAAATGTCAATCGATGAAGAATCTATTTTTACCATAACGCATAGACAAAAATTATTTTATTTTGTGCACTCCGGTTGCCTATAACTAAAAATTATAACAACTCATATTGTAATATAATACAGATTTAATAGGAAAATTGATTCCTGTTTAATTTTTTGAAGTAACCCCTAAAATCTACTTTTAGGAATAATTTTATTATACAAAAAACTTGATATTTACAATGGTTTATAAAATTAAACTAAATTTTTTCTATACATATTTTTAAAAAATTCATTATTTAACAAAAAAATGAAGGGTAGTATACTTAATAAATCACATTGTATACATAAACGTCATATATAATGTGTTGTTTATTAATTAATCGTTTCATAAAATTTTTAGAGTCAGACGTTATGATCGGTGACATGGGTGAAGATTCAACCACGGGTAAGTCATAGTTCATAAAAATTATAATATATTATAATTTTTATACGTAAATTTGTACAGTGTATATAATGAGTTTATTTTATTGTTTATTTAATCTTATTAATTCAATATTTAAAATATTTGAAAAATTATAAAAAATACAAATAAATTTATTTTTGTTTGTTTCTATTATCTAATAAAATCTAATCTATTAATTAGAGAATTTCACTAGGGCAAAACTAATTTGAAATTTTATTAGTATTTTATATAATTCAGCATTTTTACAGTGCATAATATCTATCTTTATATAAATTTTAAAAATTTCAAAATTCGTTTATTATGATTCAATATTAGCTACTGATTTGCAAATATAATAATCATAATAAAATGTGATAAAAATAATTAACTATAACAAAACGAGCTGTATAGTATGCGTTTATTTTTATTTTGTGATGAAGTTAATTGTTTCAATTGTATATTACTGATAAATTATTGTTCTGAAATGTGTCTAAATGTTTTGTTTTGTTGTTGCGTAGTAAAAAAAACTTTTTAAAATATTACAAAGCTTTAGATAATCGTATTGTACAAAAAAATGTTTTTAAACCACTACACTAAAAAAACACTTCTTTAAAATCAACAAATGCATTACCAGAATACGTTTAATAAACTATTTGTTAAATAAATCATAGTTTTTTTGTTAATTTAACTGTTACTTTTGTTATTTTTTTGTTGAATTTTTACAGTATAGAGAAAAATATTTGTAATAAGAGTAATTTTTAAAAAAAACTAATTCTTTTAATCAAAGAAGAAAATATTTAAATAATTAAAAATTAGTAAAATATTTAATTCAACTACTTGTTATTGTCTCAAAGAAATTCAACTAATTAGAGCTATATTTGTAAAAATTGTTTTGTTTAATTGTTCACGTAAAAACTCTATTAGTATTATTCATAGGAAATGGTAAATTCGAAGAAAATAATAAAAATCAAGAGCCATCCGAAAGACGAATGACACCAGGAGGGTCTGTATCATTTACTTGTGTCCTTAACCACTTTAACCAAACTCGCCCAAGTATTCAGTGGAATCACAACAATGAGTCAATTTCTATTCATGTAATATATGTTTTAAATTTATTTTTTACAATACGATTTAATTATTTTTTATCTATTGAATTTAGGTAAATATAAGAAATATTATATCTTAGTACCTGACTTAATAATTTATTTATTTAACGAGTAAAGCTTAACGAATATTATATAGCTTATAAAATTGAGAGTAATAGGTCACAGATTGATTATTTTACGTGAAAAAGATAGAGTGTACATTAAAAAGAGTGTAGTAAAAGATTGTAAAGTTATACCAGGCGAGAGTGTAACTACACAACATAAACTGATAGTAATGGAGTTGTAGCGTAGTGGGTAAAAAAAAACAGAAGAAACACAGGAGAAAAATCAAGGATCCGGTGGTGGAAATTGAAAGGAGATAATGAAAAGGAGGTTTTAAAGACGGTAAATGAAAGGAAAGTGTGGAATGTCAAGGGAGACATAAATAATGTGTGGAATATATTCGCTAGTTGTGTAAAGAATACTGCAAAGGTGATTGTTGGTAAGAGTAGTAGAATGCCAGGAAATAAAAAAACCGGGGAGTGGAATGAGGACTTTCAAAAAATTATAGAAAGTAAGAAAAAGAAGTTCAAAGTATTGCAAAAAGAGAAAAGATTGGATGAAATATAAACGCTTGTGTAAAGAAGTTAAGTGTGCGGTAAGAAAGATGAAATTTAAGAAATATGTTGACTTATTGAGCAAGATAAGCTATGAACAAAGGAAAGTGAAAAATACGTCTCAAATTTGCAAAAGTAATCGAAAAATAGTCTAAAGATTATCACAATTTAAGGTTGAGTTATAAGGCGTAGTAAGTGTTGATAATAGGGTACTATCGAGTGATGATGATGTGAAAAAAGTGGAACGAGTATTTTGAAAAATTTTCGAATGAAGAGTATCCAAAAAAAACATTAAATGATATCTCGCGAAGCAAGAAACTGGCTGATTTAATTAGTGAGAAAATGTTATTGGAGAATCAATGAAAAAGAATAAAAGAATAGGACCAGATGAGTGCCAGTATATGTATGAAATATATTAGATGGTGTTGGCATAAGTATTTATAGGATATTTTAATAAAATCCTATTAAAAGTGAAAATGCTAAAAGAATGGACGAATAATAATTAGGTACCAATATTTAAAGGCAAAGGAGATATACAGGACTGTGGAAATTATAAAAGGATATCGCTTATGAGTAATAGTATGAAGATTTCGAAAAAGATAATAGAGAAAAGAATAAAATGAGAAACATGAATAATAAAGAACCAGTTTGGTTTTATGTCTTAAAAGTAAACGATAGAGCTAGTTTTCTGTGTGAGACAACTAATGTATAAGGGAAAGATGAAAAATAAATACCATTATTGATTTGGAGAAAGCGTATGATAGAAGTCCTAAAAAGGTTCATTAGTATAATAGAGAATATGTATGATGGCTCTTGTACTAGGGTAAAAAGTATGAACAGAGTAACAGAAAATTTTAAGGTAAGAGTAGGAGTGTACTAAGATTCCACTATAAGCTCTTACTTATTTTTCATAGTGATGATGAAATTACTAGAAAATGACAAGGAGAGGTACCGTGGTATATTTTGTTCATAATGGTATAGTATTAGGAGGAGAAAATAAGGAAGAAATTAGTCAAGAAGAGGTAGAAGAAGACCAAAAAAGAGTTAGAGGGTTGTTATTGAATTTGATATGAGAACGGCTGATGTGTGTGTAGATGATGTGGCAGAACATGTCAAGTAGTAGTTTAGAATATAGGCGATGCTTTGTCGAATTAGCCATGTGTGTTTATTTTGATTCCTTCAGTTATTGGTTGAATGAGCGACTATCTTCTTTCTAAATCATAAAAATAATTAATGCTAGGTCTTCTTTTTGGTCTTTTACCCACTGTTCATCCTTTAAATATATTAATAAGGAAATCATTGTGTCGGATAAGATGCCTAATAAATTTTATTTTTCTTTCTATTACTATAATCATTAGATTTCGTCTTTATCCTATTTTTACTCTATTAAATTGGTCTTAATCATAAGCAAAATAAGTTATCAAAACAAGACTGGGACTTTAAAATGTTGAATTGTTTTTATCTACGAGAAGTAGGATTTTCGTAGATTCTACTCTGATACAGCCAACTTATTTAAGTAAAATACTAAGGCAATATTTGTAAAATATCTTGAATTTAAAACAAAATAAGTTGTTTGAAATCTGTATGTTCACACTTTTCTAATCTTTGAGTATTAATTACTTAATTACGGCGACATTACTCTAAGAAAATTAGTCGCGAAAATGAGAACATTTTTTTAACATTCCGTTAACGTTAAAATTGTAACATATTTTGAAAATAACGCTTTGTGTTTTTTTACTTAAAATCTGATATTCTTACTATGCTTACCAATAAATATTTCAGATGTATACTTAAATTTTTGTTGAAATCTGTTGGTTTTTGTATGAGTATCTTTTTATTGACATTTGTCACACCATGTCACATGGCCTAAATTTTTCGATGCATTTTATACATAAAAATAATTTTTTTAGTTTGCTCTTATACTATGATAGTCTACATCGTAGCATGTAAAGATTATTATGTATAGTTAATTTATTTAAATTTAATTTTGATTAGTATTTAAAGAAAAAATCTGTGGTGATTTTAAAGTACAGAAAACTGAAAAATTCTTTTTCTATGGTATCATAAATTTGAAATATTTTCCTAAATTATCAAATTGAAAGTTTTTTTTTTAATTTTTGGTATTAGTAAATAAATTTTTTGGATAAATTTTTTTTTTTCAATATTTGATGTTGATAGTTTCAATTAGATTTAAATTGTATTATTTTGATCTATTAATCATTAAAATATTTCCATAAAGTTTTGAAGACAGATATTAAAAAAAAGAAAAAAAAAATACAAAACCAATAAAAAACCAGTACATTCTTAGCTTTGTATCAAGACTCTAAATTGTTTATTATAATTATATAAAAATATAATAATAGATAAAATTATAAAATTTATATTTTCAGGGTCATAAAAGTAGCATTAGTATAGAAACGGAGAGATCATTAAATAACTTCATTAGCCGCCTCACGTTGGCCAATGTTTCAAAATATGACTCTGGCAAATACACATGTATTTCAGGACACCAGACATCAATTACATTCATCTTGCATGTTATTTTACCCGGTTAGAAATTTTTTATGATATTTGAAATATAATTTAACTAAAAAATAAAAAGGAAATTATTAATAAATTTTAAAGAATTTTTAACGGAGATACAAAAATTAATATTCAACGTATTATTGCATAATTAAATCAAAACGGAAAGGTTACTTTATATCCTATTAACTAACATTAATTTGATATGCGAATGTTTAAGAATAGAAATCGTTATTTTTTCAATATTTTAATAATAAATAATATTTTAAGGAACTTTTTTTAGTTGGATGTTTCAAAATGTTCACCTGAAAATATTAATGAAAATATTATAATTTGATTTATTAAGTAAAACATAACTTTTGTAAATATAATGCTATCAATCCATGAGAAAATTAGATCTTAAATAAAACAATGTCAGTATTTTGTTTTGGATGTTTAACGTTTAGTCTTAGATACTTTAAATTATTAAATAATTTTTGTTGTAAATTTACATTAAATAAGTTTTAATATGTGTGCTTTTTTCTCTAATTTGAGTTTTTTTTATTACAGAAAATGAATTAGCTTTGCAAGATGGTTTGAGATCTGAGGCATCATCTATCATGAATTATTTTAATTTAATCGTAGCAATTTTTCTAAATACTATAATTACTATGTAAAATCCTTAAAAGCATATTATACTTATGACAAATGATGTTAATTAATTAGATATTTTTTAAAATATAGTTTATATACGTACGTTATATGACATAGTATAATGACATTTAAAAAATATCTTTGAATATCGAAGGTTCAAAATGAAATTTTATCGAATTAATTTTTATAAAATTAAAGTAACATTTAAAAATTTTAATCATAGAGGAATAGTTGTTTAGTTGAGTGGTTTTCCACTCAACTTAAAAACAGAATTCAGTTCTTATAATCCTACAGAAAAAAAACAATAGGTGGAATAGCAGATGTCAAAATATCAAGTGTGGTTATTTTCTCAACTTAAACATTTGGCATATAATAATTCACATAGAGTATGGGAATAAAAACAGTATTATTATACAAAACTATCCTTCTCCTTGATACTAATTTAGTTGTGTAAATACTACAATATATATATGTTTAAATATGAATAATAATTGTAATTTTATTTTGTTAAAATCAATCCCCATTTTTTTAACCATATACAAAAATATACTACGTGTAAAAAAAATAATTTTTGTCATATTTTATAATAATTGTATTTAGTCAAGATTTGTACCAAAAATGTAAAAATTATACGAAAAATAAAGAAACAAACAAATAATTTTAATGATATTTTATTTTCATTAAAAATGACAGAAATGTTAGTGTTTTAGAACAAGTCATGTGTCAAAGCCTCATGTGCAGTTTTTGTAACGTGAAGTCCTGATAATCACCTAGATTATTTTCAAATTGAAAATAGCTCAAATTTATCAATTGTTAGTGACCAACTAGCATTAAATTATAAATATTAATTATTTAGATACTNGACAGAAATGTTAGTGTTTTAGAACAAGTCATGTGTCAAAGCCTCATGTGCAGTTTTTGCAACGGAAGTCCTGATAATCACCTAGATTATTTTCAAATCGAGAATAGCTCAAATTTATCAATTGTTAGTGACCAACTAGCATTAAATTATAAATATTAATTATTTAGATACTAGCTGTTTTAAGATAAGAGAATATTTGTATTTTTATTGTTGTAGTTAGGAAAAATTTTAGACAAATATTACATAATATAAAAATTTTTTATATAAAAATTCTGCTTGAAATTTTAGGAATTAAAATTTTTTTTTCAAGTATCACGTAAAAAGGTTGTACTAAAGTAGTTCGGTCAGTGGATAAATTTCAATCTTTTAGATTATCTTGCATTTTAATAGTGATGCTTGTCTATAATCCAAGAATCATGTTAAAAAATGAATTATAAAGCTAATAAAGTAAAATTATTTTAATTTTACCATATTTATCAAATTTCTATTGCAGTATTTTTTAACCGAATAACTGAAAATTTCACATGTATGCCGCAATATGACATGATCTTATGAATACATATAATATAATATAGGTATAGAACCAAGTGTATCATACTGTTATAAAGTTTGGGAAAATTGTTTTAATATGTTTAATTTTAATTAAGTTAATCTATTATTATTTCAATATGAATTATCGTAGATTATTTATATTGGACCTAAATTTTCATAAAATGTTTATTTAAAAGATTATTTACTAGAGAATTGATACTTTTACTATTCAAAGTAACGTAGTATTTAAAAAAATTGGCAGAGTACAACTTGAGATCTTATGCAGCGATTACAAAAAAGAAAACATTGCGATTATTAAATTGAAATTGGGTTGGTAGAGATGGATTCAAGTAGTTAAATTTTAAATTTGTTGATAAGGTAAATAAATAATACATGTACAATATTATTGGATAAATATTGGTAAGACCGAGTAGGATGACGAATTCAGTATTTCTTAAAATCAATAACATATAGCAGCATATACTAGTTAACATAAAGCCTCTAAGAGTACACTTTGTTACTCATTAGCGCTAATATTTGTGCGCAAACGTTAATTTTAGTTGTTATTTAATATTCTTATATAGTGTGTTGTGATGTCATTTTCGAACATCAAAAGCTAATGTTAGTATGCTAAATATTAATAAATTAGTAAATAATTTGTATGAGGAAAATTTTTTTAATTTATTTTTTAAATATTCTAAAAGTATTGTTTAACGCCTATTAAAATATAAGAATATATCATTTTACAGTAATTTTGGTCAGACATTTTTACAATTGTTTTCCATTTGTCTTCTTACCACATAGCTGGGAAATTATAACAAAAATATTGATTTTAGGAAAATTCATATTTTAGAAGATAAAAGAGACGATTGAACAAATTTGTAGTGTTACGCAGGGATACAGAAGTAGTTTTTATCCAAATTTCAGATATTAAATTCATTTATAGAAGTCAGGAAAACCCTAATCTTAAAAAATATCTTTAAAAAAAAATTGGTTAAAATAAAAATATATTATTAAACTCAATTTAAGATGTCAGAGTACATTTTTTTTTATAAAATAAACGATTTTCAGGGAAGAAATATTTTTGGTTTAAAGAGTTTATTTTAATAAATATTTTTTCTCTTCTGGGTTTGAAGTATACGTTTTAAATTCGGATAAATATAAATCAAATATACCTTTTTAATAAGAGTTACCGATGAAAATATAAATTTATCTAGAATATTTTTTTAAAACTGCTGATACTATGTGAATTATATATTCTATACTACAATAAAGTTTTACTGTATTGTTAGATTTAACATAACTGAAGGCGTTCTTTTCTAAAATGTCGACATTTCATTGCGGCAATAAACGTCAAAGAAACGCTTAGAAATACTTGCAGTGTAAATATAACATAAATATGTTTTACTAAGTTAACTTAGTAACTGTATAATTGAGAATCCGGTAACATCATTAAATTTATATTTTATTATATACCTATATTTGACTCATTTATTATAATTACTATTAAATTTTAGATACTTTATTAATTTTTTTTTTTTTGCCAAGAATAATAAGTTTATTTTTATTATTCTTTATCCGTGACAGCATAGGCCATTGGATAGACAATTATAAGTTAAGTATTTTACAATTTAGTATTAATATTTCTTTAAATATTAATATTTATTTTACTCACATCACATAATACTTATACATAATTTAATACTATGAATAAAAGGAAATTTATATTTTGTTTAGTAATTCGGTAATTCTTATCAACTTGAGAGTGGCTTCTAGCGCTGTAGTTTCTGGTCCAAACGATTTTGAAATATGTTTTGGTAGTCTTGCTTGATGTCTGCTTTTCGTGAAATTTAGACATTCTGACATTATGTTTTTCGGGCTAAGTCGTGTATCGCAAGATTCGCATGTTAGATGGTTATTTTTGTTCATAAGATAGCTATGAGTAATTTGAGTGTGACATATTCTGAGTCTTGTTAATATTACTTTCAATTTTCTCGGTTTCAAACTCGAATGGTAAAAGCCAGATTGTCACGTTTTGTTTAATTTAATGTATTATTGTGCTGGTTGAATTCCAGTGCTCTTGCAATAGTAAGTTTATTATTCATAGGTTATAAAATTATTTTTGAAATGTTATTTTTAAAGTGTAAAGTTCACACAAAACTACAATAGCTTAAAAAAAATTGATGTTCTATATTAAATCTTTCCTATACTAATAATTTGATAGGTTCCCAACGGCAATTTGGCTGTTGAAAATCTAATTTTTAAATAAGGAAAAAAGATTTTACGTAACGCTGTAGAAAAAGTGTAAGAAAAAGAGAAAAAAGTAATAAAATGAGAAACTTTTCAAAAAGTAATTTCATAAAGCGACTCTAAAGAGTGGAAAAAATAAGTTCTCTGAAGTTCTTAAATATATTTTTATTCTATTTCTCTTCCACTCTAACTGCAGTGACAAACGCCCGGTCTTCGAAGTTAATGTGCTCTCACATATTATATAACCCGTTTTCTCTCTGAGAAAATATCGCCTGGAACACGCCCAATCTCAGTTATATAGGGGTGAAAAGCAAAAAAACTTAACAACCGCAGATGACGAAATTTGGTTTCAACTTAAAATGAAAAAACTTCCGGTTAGTATGTACTTTATCATAATTACTGAAAGTTTGAACGCGTTATGTGTTTTAGCACCCAATTGTCGTTTGTTAACATTTTTCAACGAAGTGATGAAGTACATAGTATTCAGGAGTACAACCTTATACTGTCAAATCCTGTAACTTTTGATTCACTGAATACTTTTCGTTCTTTTTCTTTTTTTGAATCTTATTAGATTTTAGAACTAAAATAATATCAGAAAAATATTTATTTTTCAATTTATTAAGAAAAATATATATATTTTTTAATTATTGAATATTTAAAAAAAATCAAGATAGCAAATTCGTATATTGTAAAAAAATCTTGTCATAATTTTTTGTAGTAAATTTCTAGTAATTGAAAAAATAACTGTTTTTTTTTTCATGTTGTATGATAAACAATACAATTCAATATTTTAAGCTCTAACTAGTCTTTAAATTATAAGTAACAAAAAATATATAGTAGATTAGAAGTTATTGGATTTGCTAGAAAATGGTGGGCCATTTTGAATAAAATAAAAATACTTTCTTAGAAATACAAAGCTGACTAAAAGCATGGTAGTTTTTCAATACGATAAATTGTATATATCAAGTTTAGATATTAATGCAAAAATCTTAAAATGCTTTAGCTTATTTATCATGACTTAACATAAACAATTAAAAAATGTTAAATACAGCCAGGATCCAGCGTGGTGGAGTTGGAATATTTTTTTAAATAAATAATTATTAATATCTGGCAGTGATTAAAACAACTGCCATAAAACACTTTGAAACAAATTAAAAGAAAATTTACAACATAAATTGTCGTGTTAAATTATACATTGTCGAAAATAGTGTATTCCTGACAAAAATGTGTGCTTTGAATATCGAAGAATGTTATTTAAATTAGTAATATATATTTTTACGTGTATTTTAGTTTTAGTTGAAAAAATAATGATTCTTGAAATTTAAATTCAGATAACAGATTTCTTTTCCTCGTTAATATTTTTTTTTTTTTAAATTTTGTTCTGTAATTATAGATATTTTGATCATTTGAAACGTTTTAAAGAAATTTAGGATTTAAATGCATATTCTTAACACCATTTCTATGAAATATAACTTGAAATGTTTTAAACAGAGTTAGGTTAAGTTAAATTATCAATAATTAATCTCTGTCGTATCTCTTTGTCATAATTTGCACAATGCATATTACTCTATTACACCTCATACATTTGATTATGAAAATTATATAGTCTATTAATTGTAACGAAACGAATAAATAGTTTACCCGCTATAACATTTACACTATTTATTGAATATGTATATATGTTATATATATTTAGGATTAAAATTAAATTAAAAATAAAATATATATACTTTAAAATAATAAAGGATATGTATGATGACACTTGTACCGGGAAATATAAACAAAGTAACAGAAGATTTTAGGGTAAGAGTAGGAGTGTACTAAGGTTTTGCTTTAAGTTCTTACTTATTTTATATAGTGATAATGAAATTACTAGAAAAATACAAGAAGAGGTACTGTAGTGTTTTTTGATCGTTTACGATATAGTGGTAAAAAGATAAAACAGGGAAGAAATTAATCAAAGGCTAGAGGTGTGGAGATCAGCTCTTGAAGAAAAGGG